CCTCTGTAAATGTGTATGTATATATATATATATATGTATATTTGTGTACATGTGCATGTGTATCCGTATGTTTAGTTGTACATGCACATGCACATGCATATGCACACGTGCGTGTGTATATATATATATGTATGTGTATGTGTATGTATATATGTACATGTACACGTACATGTATATTCAGCTATTCATAAATTCGCATATGCACGTGTATGTGTATGTGCATACGTACATGTATCTGTATATGCATATGTCTATGTTTATGTCCATGTAATTGTATATGTATATGTATGTGTTTTGTGAATGTTTTGTCTACGTTGTTGTTTATGTACGCGTCTATGAACTTGCTTATGTGTATGCATGTCTTTATTCGTAGATTTGCAGGTACATGTATATGTTTAGGTATATGTACTTGTACTTGTACTTTTGTATATCTGTATATGTATATGTATTGGTATATGTATATGTGTATGTATATGTTTATGTATATGTATATGTATAGGTACATGTAGCTGCACATTTATACATACATATGTTACGGTTATGCATAAGTTTATGCTTCTTGTTATGTATAACTGAAGGTATACGTGTGTGATTATGTCTATTTTTATGTATAGTTGTATGTGTATGTGTCTATGTGTGTGTGTGTGGGTTTATGTCCATGTTTATGTATACAACAATGTACTTGTAAGTTGACACGTATATGTCTATGAGTATGTATAGGCATATGCGTATGTTCATGCATAGGTGGATGCATTTTGATATGCAAATGTATACGTATCTGTATATGTATACGTATATACATATGGATTGTACATCTATATAATGATACATGTATAGGTGTATTGTAGTGGCCTCTGGCCAGTGCCGCCGGTCTGGGTCGCTCTGGATGATGATGATGATGATGATGATGATGATGATGATGATGATGATGATGATGATGATTACGGTGATGATGATGATGATGATGATGATGATGATGATGATGATGATGATGATGATGCTGATGATGCTGATGATGATGATGATGATGATGATGATGATGATGATGATGATGATGATGATGATGATGATGATGATGATGATGATGTGACTATGGTGATGGTGGTGATGATGGCGATGGTGATGATCCCGGCCCCCCCTCCCCACCTCCCCTCCTCTCTCTTGTCCCCCTCCCCCTCTCTCCTGTCCTCCCCCCCCCTCTCTCCTTTCCCTCCCCCCCCCTCCCTCTCTCTCTCCTGTTCCCCCCCTCTCTCTCCTGTCCCCCCTCCCCCTCTCCCCCCCTCTCTCCCGTTCACCCCCTCCCTCCCTCTCTCCTGTCCCCCCCCCCCTCTCTCCTGTCCCCCCCCCTCTCTCCTTTCCCCCTCCACCCTACCCCCTCTCTCTCTCCTGTCCCCCCCCCCCCTCTCCTTTCCCCCCCCTCGTTTCCTCTCCTGTCCCCATCCCCCTCCTCTCTCTTGTCCACCCCCCCACCCTCTCTCCTTTCCCTCTCCCCCCCCCCGCCCCCTCTCTCCTGTCCCCCCCCCCCTCCCTCTCTGTCACCCCCCCGCCTCTCCCGCCCCCCCCCTCTCTCCTTTCCCCCCCCCCCTCTCTCCTGACCCTCCCCCTTCTCCTGCCTCCCCCTGTCTCCTTCCCCCCCCCCCTTTCGCGTGTCAATTCTTTCGTCGTTGGCGTCCCCCCCCCTCCCCCTTGCAGAGCGAAGCTTGAGCGAGTCCCCCCCTTCTCTCCTTCCCCCCCCCCTCGCGTGTCAATTCTTTCGTCAGTTTTCGTCGTTTGCGTGCCCCCCCCGACCCCCCCCCTCCAGAGCGAATCTTGAGGGAGCTTAAGCCCCGGCTCTCAGAAACTCACACGCCGGATCGGCGGATATGTATGTGTATGCGTATGAATATGTAGATATCTTCAATATTCACACCCGTTATGTATAGGTGTACATAAGTATGTATGTATGTATGTATGTATGCATGTATGTATGTATGTATGTATGTATGTATGTTTGTTTGTATGTATGTATGTATGTATGTATGTATGTATGTATGCATGCATGCAGGTATGTATGTATGTATGTATGCATGCATGCATGCATGTATGTATGTATGTATGTATGTATGTATGTACGTACATACGTACGTACGTACGTATGTATGTATGTATGTATGTATGTATGTATAGAAATGTATGTATGTATGTATGTCTATATGTATGTATGTGTGTATGTATGTATGTATGTATGTATGTATGTATGTATGTATGTATGTATGTATGTATGTATCTATGTATGTATGTATGTATGTATGTATGTATGTATGTATGTATGTGTGTATGTATGTATGTATGTATGTATGTATAGACACATATATACATACATACACGTATGCACACATGCATATGTGTACACACATAGGTATATGTAAATAACGTTTAATTTTTATTACATGTATATGAATATGTCGGAGGATGCGGGTGAGATCGAAGTGGAACGGAGAGCCCCCAACTGGGAAATCGGTTTCGGTTTCGTGTTCGTGTCGTGCGTGCGGGCGAGGCGAAGCTGCGTGCGCGGGCGAGAGGAATTCATTCTGCTGTCGCTAGTGGTTCGCCAACATAAATGTTTCCCCCGCTGGCGCGTGTCAAGCGGTGGCCCGCATTGTCCCGTCGGTTGCCCGCCGTTGTCCTGTCTGTCGCTAGTGGTTGGCCAACATAAATGTTTCCCCCGCTGGCGCGTGTCAAGCGGTGGCCCGCATTGTCCCGTCGGTTGCCCGCCGTTGTCCTGTCTGTCGCTAGTGGTTGGCCAACATAAATGTTTCCCCTGCCGGCGCGTGTCAAGCGGTGGCCCGCATTGTCCCGTTGGTTGCCCGCCGTTGTCCTGCCTGTCGCTAGTGGTTCGCCAACAAAAATGTCGGTGGCCCGCATTGTCCCGTCGGTTGCCCGCCGTTGTCCTGTCTGTCGCTAGTGGTTCGCCAACATAAATGTTTCCCCCGCCGGCGCGTGTCAAGTGGTATCCCGCATTGTCCCGTCGGTCGCCCGCCGTTGTCCTGTCTGTCGCTAGTGTTTCGCCAATCTAAATGTTTCCCCCGCCGGCGCGTGTCAAGCGGTAGCCCGCATTGTCCCGTCGGTCGCCCGCCGTTGTCCTGTCGTGAGATCGATCGTGAGATCGATAGTGAGATCGATCGTGAAATTGATAGTGACACCGAAAGTGAGATCGATAGTGAGACCGAATGTGAGACCGAATGTTGGATCGATAGTGAGGTCGATAGTGAGATCGATAGTGAGATCGATCGTGAAATTGATAGTGGCACCAAAAGTGAGATCGAGTGTGAGATCGAATGTGAGATCGATAGTGGGATCGATGGTGAGATCGGTTGTGAGATCGATTGTGAGATCGATAGTGAGATCGATCGTGAGATCGATAGTGAGACCGATTATGAGATCGATTGAAAGATCGAGCCCGCATTGTCCCGTCGGTGGCCCGTGGGTGTCCTGTCGTGAGATCGATAGTGAGATCGATCGTGAGATCGATAGTGAGATCGATAGTGACATCGATAGTGAGATCGATAGTGAGACCGAATGTGATATCGATTGTGACATCGATTGTGATATCGATTGAGATCGATAGTGAAACCGAATGTGAGATCGATAGTGAGATCGATAGTGATATATATATATATATATATATAGTGAGATCGGCCATCAGCACCACATTCACCACAGTTGTCGTCATGAGCCCCCCCCCGTCCCCCCCCCCCCCCACAACCTCCTCATCACTCGCAGGGTGGACGTATAGGTATATGTATGTTTGTGCATATTTGTGTTTGCAGCGCCCGGCGCCGCAGAACCAGGGATGGAAGCAGCGGGCCCAGGAGACTCGGGAGGTCCCAGGATGCCCCAGGACGTCTCAGGAGGCCTTGGGAGGTCCTTGAAGGTCCCAGGAGGATCCTGGGTGGCCCTAGGCTGTGGAAAGAAAGTCCCAGAATACCTCATAATGCATCAGGAGGGACTAGGAGGTTCCATGAAACCGCCGCAGGAGGTCCCAGCAGGCCTCGAGAGGCCCCAAGAGCCCCCATATCCACAGAACATGAAAATCATTGTAATCAGAATTGAGGATTCCTGGTCGCCTGGGCTGCAGATTTTGCAGCCCAGCCGGCCAGGAATCCTGGACAATTCCTTCAGACTTTCAAAGGGGCCCCAATAATTACCCAAATTCCAAAAAATGCAAGCGGCTTTGGAATTCGCAGGCCAGGCGACAGGGAATCCTGAAAACTCCATCCAGACCCTTCAGAATGTCAGCAACTTTCATTTTTTTCAAACTGTGAAGAATTTCAGCCCCCGGAAAATTAAAACAACACCTCAAACTTGAAAATGTTGAAATTTCCAGGGGCCCTGGGATCCGCAGGTCAGGCGACCAGGAATCCCGAAAACTCTGGAGCCCTCAGAGTTTCAAAATTTTACGACTTTCAAACATTCGGCCCATTCCGAAAGTCAGAAATGTCTTCGAACCTGTTCGTTTTTTCGCAGCCGAGGTGACCAGAAATCCCGAAAACTATGGACCCGTAGAGTAACATTTTGGCTGTTGTTTTTGTTTGAACTTTCAGCCTCCCCAAATTTCGTATGTGAGAATTTTCCAACAATTTGAAATTTGAAGGGGCCCTGGGATCCGCAGTCCAGGCGACCAGGAATCCTGAAAACGAAGATGGGGATGACGGTGACACGGGGGATGGTAGATGAGGAGGAGGGGACGGAGGAAGAGGAGGAGGAGGAGCTGAGGGAGGAGGAGGAGGATGAGGAAAGTCCACAATCTGATCTCCCGTCGTGGTCGTACGTACCCCTCCCCCCCTCTGCTCATCCACCCTCCTCCTCCCCCTTCTCCTTCCCCCCTCCCCCCTCTGTCCTCCCCTCCTGTCCTCCCTGCTCTTGTCCACGTCCTCTGCCCTCTGCCTCCTTCTCCTCCTCCTCTTCCCTCCTTCCTCGTCGCTCCCTGCCAGCTACTGTGGAGGGGCTGCCCCGTGGAGGCCGCTGTGTACCAGCAGCAGCAGCCGGCGGGGCGATTCGCCGGGCACTTCATGCCTCACAGGCTCCCCGGGCAGTGGCCGAAGAGTGCGAGGACGGACGGGGCGGAAGGAGGAGGAGGAGGAGGAGGAGGATGAGGAGGAGGAGATGGCGGAGGAGGAGATGCCGGAGGAGGAGGAGGAGGAGGAGGAGGAGGAGGAGGAGGAGGAGGAGATGGTGGAGGAGGAGATGCCGGAGGAGGAGGATGAGGAGAAGGAGGAAGAGGCCGAGGAGGAGGAGGAGGAGGAGGAGGAGGAGGAGGAGGAGGATTGTGAAGGCCTGACGGCGGGTGCCACCGACCTTGAAAGACATCGACGACGACCAGGAGGGGGAGGAGGAGGAGAAGAAGGAGAAGAAGGAGGAGGAGGTGGAGATAAGGAGGAGGAGGAGGAGGAGGAGAAGGAGAAGAAGGATCAGCAGGAGAAGGATGATGATGATGACGATGATGATGATGATGATGATGATGATGATGATGATGATGATGATGATGATGATGATGATGATGATGATGATGATGATCATGATGATGATGCTGCTGCTGATGATGATGATGACGCAGATGATGATGATGACGATGATGCTGATGCTGATGATGCTGCTGCTGATGGTGATGATGATGAGGATGAGGATGAGGATGAGGATGCTGCTGCTGATGGTGATGATGATGAGGATGAGGATGAGGATGATGATGCTGCTGCTGATGGTGCTGATGATGATGAAGATTACGACGACGATGATGATGCTGATGATGATGCTGATGATGATGATGCTCCTGCTGCTGCTGCTGATGCTGATGATGATGATGCTGCTGCTGCTGATGATGATGATGATGATGGTGATGATGATGATGCTGATGATGATGATGCTGCTGATGATGATGATGATGATGCTGATGATGATGCTGCTGATGATGATGATGATGATGATGATGATGATGATGATGATGAGGATGAGGATGAGGATGAGGATGAGGATGAGGATGAGATGAGGATGAGAGATGAGGATGAGGATGAGGATGAGGATTGAGGATGAGGATGAGGATGAGGATGAGGATGAGGATGGATGAGGGATGAGGATGATGATGATGAGGATGAGGATGAGTGAGGATGAGGATGAGAGGAGAGGAGGAGGAGGAGGAGGAGGAGGAGGAGGGAGGAGGAGGAGGAGGAGGAGGAGGAGGAGGAGGAGGAGGAGGAGGAGGAGGAAAAAGACACCCCCCCTGGGCCCCCCCCCCTGGGGAGGAGGACCAGAGGAGGACCGCTGTGGGAGAGGGGAGGGGAAGGGGAGGAGGACCCCCAGGGACGGATGCGTATCTGACCCCCCCCCCCCGGGACTCCTCCCCACCTGGGGAGGAGGGCCAGCGCGCCAGAGAAGGACTGGCGTGGGAGAGGAGGACCCTCAGAGGCGATGCGAATCTGATCCCCCCCCAGGGCTCCCCCCCGCGCCGGGGCAGGGGTTCCCGTTGACGTAATGAGGACGTGGATGGAATTCCCTCACGCTGCGAACCCGTTCCCCGAACGAGGATGGGTTCTCTCTCTCTCTCTCTCTTTTTTTTTTTTTTTTTGTTTTTTCTTTCTCTCTTTCTCTCTCTCCCCCGACGGGAGAGGAGGATGGGAAGGAGGGGGCGAAACAAGGCTTCCCGTTGACGGGGTCGGACAGACACCCCACCCGTGCCGACAGGGTCGGCGGATTTGGGGATGCGGCGCTGGTGAAGCCGAATACCTGTCAGCAAGAGACGTCGCTGCAACCCGTATAATCTTTCGTGCAATTCGAGGGTTCTGCGCGGGTACCATGTGAACAAGAACAGTAGCGTGAACAATTAGAGACATGTTGGGTGCCAGGAAGCAAGGCGCAGCGGCGGCAGCAAAACAGGCATCACTGGGTGGTCCTGGTGGGACGTTGGCGAGGTGTCTTCGGCACAAGCAAAGGACAAGGGACAATGCTCAACTGGGCAATGCGTGAGTGAGAGAGAGAGAGAGAGAGAGAGAGAGAAAATAGAGAAATAGAGAGAGAGAGAGGGATATATATATATAGAGAGAGAGAGAGAGAGAGAGAGAGAGAGAGAGAGAGAGAGAGAGAGAGAGAGAGAGAGAAAAAAAGAGAGAAAGAGAGATATAGAGAGAAACGGGGAGAAAGAGCGAGATATACTAGAAACAAAATCATAGAGGTATCTTCGGCCGCAAAGTGGCATGCAAAACGAGGCGGCGGAGGAAACGCAGCGACTCATCCGCGCCGAGGGAAGCAGGGGCGTTTCAACGCGGGGTGCACCTCTCCGAATTTCGCCTCGGCCAGAATGGCGAACGCTGACTGTGAGGCTGCTGAAGCGAGGGGCGTGTCATCAAGTGCGTGCGGCCATCTGTATCCGTGTCGGGGCGAAGAGATCTTCAGCCCCACGACGGAGCGAACGACGGACGGCGGAGGACACGAACGCACGGTAATCTGCACGCGCAGTGCAGAGCAAGCAGTGGAGTCAGTTGGCAAGGCAAGGCGCACGCGGGCGGAGGGATAGCGAGCGTCTTGGTCGTGCGAGAACTTCACGCTCGCTCAGATGTCGCTGGGGCGTCGGCGGGGGCAAATCGTGGTGCGCCCATGAGCTTGCGGGGTGGGTGTCGAGAGTTCCCATGCCGTATTATGGCCGGGCCTGAGAGACGCGCGGCGCATGCCCGTCCCCGTGGCTAACGGATTCTCTTTTGCTCTCAACCCGAGGCCCTGACTGGGTGGGCGCGCGCTGGCAGGTTGGGGGGCCTGTGCGCGATGATCCGCAGGCGGCGGCGCGGCAGCCGGGCAGAGGGCCGTAGACGCGCATCCGTGCGTGTTTCCCGGGTGAAACCACCGCCCAAGACGCCGCCCCCACCGGCAAGCAACAACAAAAAACACGCGCGCGCGATGTCCAACCGTTCAGTCAGATGGGCCGACTCCGACGCCGGGGTCTGTAGTTGTAGGAGCAACGGTGCGATGGTGTTGTTCGCGCTCGCGTGCCAGGCGCTCGCGCCCGCGCTCGCGCGCCTGTGCGCGATGGCGCGCCGGGCGCGCGCGCAGCTCGCGAGAGAGAAGAGAGAGAGAGAGAGAGAGAGAGAGAGAGAGAGAGAGAGAGAGAGAGACAGAAATAGAGATTGAGAGATATGGAGAGAGGGGTATTTTGAGAGATAGAGGGAGAGGCGCGGGCGGGTGGGGGCGCACTCGGAGAAGAGCGGGGGGCAGCATGCCCATCCATGACATCAAGAACATCTACATGCTCCTGTTCTTCATGTGGCCCCTCCCGCGAGCCCAGCGCAGACCCAGGGTCCAGAGGGGCAGGCGGGGCCGGGGGCGTGGGGCGTTCGCGCTCTGGGCCAGCCCTGCGACGTCGGTGACCCGGGGGTGAGGTCACGAGGTCGGGGGCCCACTGCCGAGTCGCCCGCGCGCGGATCCACTCCGCGTGAGAAGCCAGGAGGGGAGTCGCGAAGCCCGCCCTCCCCGCTCCTCCCAGTCCGCGGGTGGCTCCGCAGACCCCGAGGTCGCGATTTTTTTTGACAGCGTCGACCCCATGGGGATCTGGACCCCGTCCCCAGGATTGGTTTGCCATGAGTTTTTCGGCGGCCCCGGGGCCTGGCAAGGGCCCCCCGAGGCCGAGAATAGGGCCCCCCCCCTTCGTGATTTTCACGGCGGTGCGAGGGGGTCTGGGTCAGATAGTGCGCGCGTTGAGTGCGCGCGTGCTGCTGCGTCCACGAGGCTGTCGGCGACCGCGAAGCGCAGGGCGGGGGGCGCGTTGTCTCCTCGGTGGCGCGCTGCCCCCCCCCGAGAACAGTCGAAGCTGCGCCTCGTGGGCGCCGCGGCCGCGCGAGTGCATGCCTCGCCCTGATGCGTCCGCTGGCTCGTTGGGTAGCGCGCCCATCGCTCGTTGGAAGTAGGTATTTCTAGATTCCCAGATTCCAATCTACTTCGCGCGCCCCCTACTTCAATGATCGAGTGGCTTCGCCTTTTCCGTCCTCCGTGGGGGGCGGGCGCGCGCCCGATCTCAACGCCTGCCTACTTCATGTTTCTATTTGCTTCTACCGACCGATAGGTGCTCCTAATTACCTGGCGCAAGTATCTGCGCCGACGCGCGCGCGAATTGGCCGCGTAGTCGGTCCAAGTCTGACTTCGCGGCGGTCGCCGCCTCGCCGGCTCGGAGTGGCGTGCGATCTTGCCCGCTTCAGGCCGCCAGCTGGCTGGCGTTGGGTGCTCCATCCAGTACTCGGTGCCAACGGCAAGGGGGTGCCCAAACATTTTGATCGTGGCTCCGGGTAGCTCCTTCCCATCTCGCACTTGGAAATTGCGCGACGGGCGCGGTGCGTCATGTTGCCGGGGACAGGATCAACGGCGATGTCGGCGGGTGGACAATGCTATTTTGCGAATCCGTAAGATACTGAGACTACGCAGCGCCCGCCTGTATATCGCGGGGTCGACGTCTGCCGCCGTGCGCATTGCATTCGAAGTATTCGGTGCGTCGGGTGGCAATGAGCATGATCGTCGCTGCTATGTCGGTGAGCCGCCCAGTCTGAGACGCGCGGGCTGGGTGGCCCCCCGATTGGGCGTGGGGCTGGTCGCGGGCGTGGGGGGAGTACCTGCTGGGCGCGCATATTCGAAGAACTGGGCTTCACCTCGGGCTGCCGAGGCATGTCGAGGGCCACGTTTGGCCGCGTCGTAGACCCTGGTATCGGCCAAGAGTTCCCGCGCCGGTTGATTGCGCCGAGTAAGCGCCCCCCGCGGGGCAAGATCGTCGCAGGCGTCGGGCCTCTCTGCGCGCGCGCGCGAGAGTCTGGCGGCGCCGAGCCGTGTCGCCCAGCGAAAATCCGAGCGCGGTCTTAAAGCGCGCCCCCTCATCGATCGCGGCGCGGCATTCGACCGCGAGCAACGCGAGCGCCGGCGGCGGCCCCGCGCGACGGGGTGAGCAGGAGTCGAGCAGTGCTCAACATCGCACTCGGCGTAGGCCGTCGCGACCGCGCATGTATGAGTGCGTCCAAAACTTTGGGGGCCAGCCGGTGCTTTCATGGCCGCGCAGTG